TGGAGGAGAGGGGCAGGTTAGGTGGGAGGGGGTTAGGTGGGAGTTGGTGGGGGGGTTAGTGGGAGGGGGTTAGGTGGGAGTTGGTAGGTGGGAGGGGGAGGTGGGGTCAGTTGGTGGGGGGGTTGGGGTGGGGAGGGGGGGTAGTGGTGAGGGGGTTGGGGAGGGAGGGAGGTGGGGGGGGTCGGCGGGTGTGTTGCTTGGTGGGAGGGTTGAGGGGGTAGGGGGTTAGGTGGGAGGATGGGGTGGGGGGTAGGAGGGGGTTGTGGGGAGGGGGGTAGGTGGGGGTTGGGAGCGGTTAGATGGGAGTTGGGGGGTGATGGGAAGTTAGGTGGGAGGGGGTTGGGCGGGAGTTTGGAGGGGGGTGTGGGGGGGGCTCGGTGGGGGTAGGTGGGAGGGGGCGGGAGTGGTGGGAGGTTTGGGGGGGAGGGGGAGGGGGGGGGTGGGGGTGGGGGCGTGTGCAGCGATGCCGCGGTACGGCGCGGCGTGTGTGCGATACTACCGGTTCGGTATGCGGTGCGTTGCGGTTTGCGATATTTGTATTGTTGAAACAGCCCTGTTCGCCAAACCCTTAACCTGTTAACCTTGAGAAGCCCTAAACCCGAAAAACCCTGAAACCCGAAACCCTGAAACCCGGAAACCCCGAAACCCCGAAACCCTGAAAACCCTGAAACCCTGAAACCCTAAACCCGAATTCCATTGAGAAGTGGCAGCGTGAGCTCATGAGCCAGTCTTAGCGGAGGGTGGGGCACTGCCCAAGGGCGCCTCCATCGGCGATGAGTTCTCTCGGCTTCGGGTCTAGGATTGCTTCCTGAACCCGAAACCCTAAACCCTAAACCCTAAACCCTAAACCCTAAACCCTAAACCCTAAACCCTAAACCCTAAACCCCAAACCCCAAGCCCTAGCCCCCAAATCCTAGACTCTAAACTAACCTCCTTAAATCCGATGCAAAGTCTCTGAGTGCTTACCAAAAACCTGCCAGGGCTTCAGCTGGGGCTTGTGAGTTCTTTGCAAAAGCGGAATTCGGTTGCCTGATACACTCCCTTGTAGCGGTTTAGGCTTTAGGAGTATAGTGGGAAAAGAAGGCACGTACTTCCCTGAGTCCCGGACAAAAGCAAGTAAGGTTAGGGTTTGGTTCCAGGTTCTAGGGTTCCAGGGTTTAGGGTCCCAAATTCTGACCCTAAACCCTAAAACCCAAAGACCCAACAAAAACCCAAAGACCCCACCCTAAACCCTAAACCCAAAACCCAACACCCAAAATCTAACCCTAAAACCCAAAGACCCCAAAACCCTACTGAAGGTGCTAGGATGGCGAGGTGTTCTTGGGTCGCGCCCTTCCCCTGACGCTAAGCGGCGCCAGCAGACCGAAAGTGTCTGCGGGGCGCGGGAGAAAAGCCGAGCTGCTGATGTTGCCCTGAGGGTTCAGGGTTTAGGGTTTAGGCTTTGGGCTTTAGGGTTTAGGGGCACCTTAGCCCAATCATTGAGGCCCTTAGACTGATTGGACTACCTGCAAAGAGCCCGAGTTTGTCTCGGTCTGTAAGATTTACGTCTTGTTATTTTATCTTGGGGGGCGGGGGTCTCAGATCTGTGGTTGAGAGTTTAGCACTGAGGACCTGATGACATAGACCCAGCCATCCTTCCTAGACTCTAAAACTCAAAAAGCCCTAAACCCTAAACTCTCAGCCCTAAACCCTAGACTCTAAAACTCACAAGCCCTGACCCCTAATCTTTCAACCCCCCAAAAACCTAAACCCTAAACCCTAGACCCTAGACCCTAAACCCTAAACCCTAAACCCTAAACCCTAAACCCTAAACCCTAAGCCCTAAGCCCTAAGCCCTAAGCCCTAAGCCTAAGCCCTAAGCTCTAAACCGACAGTAAGCCCGAGCTCTTCAGAAGGCTTCAGACCCTGGCTTAAAGCACCTCTCGAAGCGGTCTAGGGTTTAGGGTTTAGGGTTTAGGGTTTAGGGTTTGGGGTTTGGGGTTTGGGGTTTAGGATTCATTTCGGAAACTTCCTTGGTTTGCCTTCTGGTCTCGTGCTTAATTATGCCTGCAACCCCAAAATCAAGCTGAAACCCCAAGCCTTTGAGCCCAGCGCAACACCCTGTAGACCAGAGATCTAAATCCAAACCCCTGGACCCCTAAAATCCGCAACCCTAAGCCCTAAACCCGAAACCCTAAACCCTAGCCCTAAACCCTAAACCCTGCTAGGCCCCTAAACGCCTCAACCCTACAACGGAGACCAGCCATGCTTTCCGTCAAGCGAAGCTTATGAGCTGCAGAGTTTATTTAACTCTCAAGCGCCTTCCGGCGCACCAAATCCGAAACCCATGTTTAGGGTTTAGGGTTTAGGGTTTAGGGTTTAGGGTTTAGGGTTTAGGGGCAGACCCTCGCCCTAAACCCCACAACCCGAACCCAAAACCCTCTGAGCCCTACACAGCTGTGAGCAAGCCCGCGATGCCTGGCTAAGCCCTTCCGCACCCACGTGCCTTGAAGTGCCTTGAGAAGCTTCAAAGCTTCAAGCCGAACCTAAACCAACCCTAGAGCACATGAAGCCCAAACCCTACAAAACCTATGAAAGTTGAACCCCCAAAACCCTGAACCGCCCAACTAGTCGATCCTTGATCAGAGACCTTACTAGTTCTTAGCATGGAAACTGAGGATTAGGGAATTCGGTACCTTGAGTTTAGGGTTTAGGGTCTGCATTCTGTATTAAGTACCCCCCTCAGAGAAGTGTCTCATGCCCGCTGTCTCATCGGCGCCTGAGCTGCCTGAGCTCACGCTGAGCCTCAAGCAGGTCCCTGGTATGGGCTTCGAACTTGGGTTGAGGGTTTAGTTTAAACCCTAAAGCCTAAAGCCTTAAGCCTAAACCCTAGACCCTAGACCCTAAACCCGGTTTAAACCCTAAACCCTAAACCCTAAACCTTAAATTGGAGGGGCTCGGGGGCGCAGTTAGGCTTCAGTCGGAGGCTTCTAAGGGGTCCAGGGGGGACCAACAAGTTTGCATTTGCTGAGGGTTTAGGGTTTAGGGTTTAGGGTTTAGGGTTTAGGGTTTAGGCTTGTGCAATCTTTGCGAGTGGGAGGTTTACGAAGAGAAGGGACCCCTCATATCGACCCCGTAGGATTTCGTTATAGTAAGGGCCCAATTAAGTACCCCTACTATCGGAAACCCCCCAGATTGTGCAAGCTTTGGGGAGTCTTGGCAAAGCTCCGGTTCAGGGGCTTTCGTCTAGCAACGAGTAGTGTTTAGGGTGTAGGGTTTTAGGGCTTCTAAGTTGAAGCAACAACTCATGCATCAAAAGGCTTCCATACTACCGGCAAGTTTTCAGAGAACGGCTTGACGCAGGGAAGCGTATCGAACGGCAATCCCTGACTATCAGTTTCAAAGTCAGTGGGTTCACCTTGGGGCGGGGGGGGCTACTAAGGTTGTAGCTGCCCTAAGCGCAAAACATCCCAAACCCTACGATGTTCGCGCTAACAGGTACGGAAGCCTGAATTCTGAGTCAGCGAACCCGATCCGATCACTCTTGTGGAAGCCCTTCTTCTGTTTACCTTGCTAGGGAATGAAGGATTAGCAATAAAAGGCATGTATGATAATACCCTCTACCTTCATTCCCTATGAATACCAAAAGTTCTGTAGAGGTGCCATTGAGCGTTTGGGCAGTTTAGAGCTAGGACGGCCTTCAATGAGACCTGGAATGCATTCCACTCGCTGAATAAGCACATTATTTAGGGTCTATAGGGTTTAGGGTTTCGGGTTCTCCGCCAAGGGCTACATAGTTCAGAGAACAGACCGTACGGCAGTCGGAGATCCTGGTATGGTTCGCCCGCCTGCGGTACCTGAACCAGGCGCGCCAGCGAGCAAGGGTTGGTAGTGGGGAATGGCTCCTGACCTTGGGACCACGTGAACCCGAAGAGGGCTTCTGGGTCAATACCTTCATAGGAATTTATATATGTAGCAGCATGGGGTTTATGACCCGTTAGGGTTCATCTGTTCCTTAGAGAAACCCTAAACTCTGGACCCTAAGATTTCTTAATGGCATGAAGCTTTTTCATCCTCCTTTGAATGGAACCCTGCCCTCTTCGGGGCGCAGCCTGCGCCGTAGTCAAGCCCCACAGGGTCGGAACATTTTTCATAGTTAGTTTGTTTTTTTTGGATATGGGGGGGGGGGGGGGGGGTTGTTACAGCATAATACAAAGGCTCCCTAAGGGAATCCAATTAGTAATTACTCCGACCCCTAGATGAGGGTTTTGGGTTATTGGGGTTTAGGCCGCGCTTGCCGATGAGCCTAGGAGCCAAACCCCACTAAGCTACAAGACTGCAGGTGCCCTAAACACACAATCTCAGGTCTGAGATTTTCCTGCGATGTCCCAAATTCCGGGAGTTTGTGGTAGGGTTTCAGGCTATAGGATTCTGGGGTTTTAGGATAAAGGCGTTTCAGGGTTTTGGGTAGCATCTGGGGGGAGGCATTGGGGGTCATTTTCCAGTTCGTGCAACACCCAACCAGACAGATCCCCCATGGTTTTGCCCCAATTCTCAACCAGCCTGATATTTCAACGATTCCCCTTTCCATGACATCGCACCGATAGATCCCCATACCCATCTGCCATCCAATCCCGGATCCTATCCGTTCTTTATACATACCCTAAACTAGCAGAACTTCGAAAATCGATCAAACTGTGACTGACTGTATTCTCCTCCCCACTTCTACGGCCAGTCCTCCTGTCCACAATGTGAGTTGCTTCCTCTCGATGAAGTCTCCCTTCAACAGCCAAGTCGCTACAAAGAAACGCCTGCTGCAGGGTGAAACAGCTTCATCTTTTTGTGCCTTACTATTCGGCGTGTGCCCGCTACATCATCCTGACCTGTATTACACACCTGCTTGTGTCAAGTGGCTGGCAGCTGTCATGCGCTTCAGCATTATCGCAGCATTTGGCTTGTAGCTCAGCTTGTGTTGTGTACCTAGCAACATCAAGGACGCGCACAGTCCAAGAACATTCGCCATGTACGGAGTTGCGGGCTTTCTGCGTCGACGTGCAGCTGCCTCGAGTGCAGCAGTCGGCGCTGTGACCTCACACAGTCCAAGAACGTTCGCCATGAACCGGATGGGACAGGTCAAGCCTTGCGATTTCTCGTCCGCCATGTACGGAGTTACGTGGTTTCTGGGCCGACGTGCAGCGGCCTCAGATGCAGCAGTCGGGGCTGTTACCTCAGTTCTGGCTCAGCAGATGCCTGCCCGTATGGCCAACAAGAAGAAGCCCGAGACGACCCATGAAGTTGCCCACGCCTACATGACCACGCCTGGAGCACATGTGCAGCCTGGTTGGTCGTACTCCTCCCTCAAAACGGACGAGACATACCTCAGCCAGATGAGCATGGAAACATTGGCAAGCAGATACGCCCACATTCCCGCAGAACATATGCCTCGCGTTCTGGAAGTCCTTGCCGCTACTCACGAGCTGCCTGAGCGATTCGCCAAGCAGTTGATGCTAATTCCCCTCACAGGGGAAGGCATCGTCGGACACCGCCAGTTCTCTCTGAGCAATGGCAAGCTGACTGGAGACTACCTGAAGTACTACATCTACAAGGCCGACGACGGCCTCTTCCGCATCAACATGGCAACAGCTAAGGCTTCGCAAGAGTGGCAGAACAAGTCCGATAACTTCACGGTCAGGACCACGAGTACCTTTTGCGGGATCAGCTGGCAGGTGTCAGAGCAGGAGGTCCAGAACGGGGTTGTGTGCTTGTCCGAGAATCATCAAAAGCACCTGGCCGCAAAGTTTGAGCGGGAAGCAGTCCAGAAGTTTGCGGGTGATTTCCCGCAGCCCGCCTAAGCATCTCGAGGTCCGTCATGTAACAGGCAAAGGCTCCGAAGTGTTGCTCAGATGAATAGTGATGCGAACAAGGCAAGGAGTGCGTAGATTGTTGACAATAGGTGGTGGAGTTGCCTATCTTCCAGACTCCATCCACGTTGTCCATATATGCTTTAGTGAAACTCTTTACTGTTTGAAGTCGTCATGAGAGTCATCATGCTTTGGGAACAGACGCTGCAGCTGCTCGGTAAAAGCCGACGTCAGAGAAATGGATCGGGATCACGAAATGCAGGGTTGTGCTGCGCATGGCGCCAGTGCCACCGGCACAAGCGACTAGATCCCCCCCCCTCTTCCTTCAAAGCCTTGCTAGCCCAGTGGTGCCCTTCACCCTTTTTTCGGTTCTGGTTTCCCTCATTAAGTAACCTACCCCCCCCCAAAAAAAAAAAGAAGAGGTACCCTATAATCATACGGGTTCTGGGCCACTAAGAAGCCGAAGAGCCGACTCTCTTATGCCCCGAGCTGCAGGTATGCAACCACCCTCTCTTAAAAGCGATGGCGCCCGGAAGCTCAGCGGTTCGCAGAAGGAAAGGAGAGGTTTTGCCGGGTAGGCCGGTGATATGTCTATTTAAAGTGTTGCTTGTTTAGGGTTTAGGGTTTAGGGTTTGGGGTTTGGGGTTTGGGGTTTGGGGTTTAGGGTTTAGGGGTTTGGGGTTACATTAATATTGTTCGCCATCCTAGCTTTGTGTTATATGCCAGGAATCGGGTTGAGGGCTTTAGGGCCTTGAATAGTTTCGAACTTCAAGGCTTCAAGTGGTTAGCTGTAGGTTTACGGTTTAAGATTTAAGGTTTAGGATTTAGGGTTTAGGATCTAAACACCACCCTGAATCCCAAACACATTCGGAAGAAGACCAGAATATCCTCGAAAGAATGACCGGTTGCAAGGACCTGTTCATCAGCCTCCGGGTTGGCTTGAGGCCTAAACAGCAGAACCTGAAGCAACCAAACTTCACGGGCTCCTTCTCCCCACCCCTAAATACTAAATTTTAGACCCTAAACCCTGAACCCCCCTGGCTCATGAGCTTCCAGTGTTTAAGCGTCGAAGAGTTCAGGCTTTGAGGCCAAAAGGTTTAGGGTCAGGATTTAGGGTTTAGGGTTTAGGGTTTAGGTTTAGGGTTTAGGGCCCAAAAGACACTGAGGTTAAACACATGGGCCCCTGAGAAACCCTGGGTTTCTGTGGAGGATATTGCAGGCCCCTGGAAAGGGTGAAGGCCCACACTCTGGGATTCCCAGGTACCCTTGTGCCCCTTTGTGATAAGGGTACAGGCTCCCTTCTTAAAACCCTTGTAAGCCTGGATCATGGGACTCTACCTAGTTGGGTTTGGGACCCTTCTTCCAGATCCACTAAGGGAATGTAAGGATACTAAGGGAATCTCTTAGGGGTACATCCCTAGGGGTCCAGCTTGACTCCGTTGATTCCTGGCACCAGGCTGTCCAATGTGAGCCTGGATCCAGCGTCTGCTCCTCACACTCCCGGCTTCGGGTTCAGGGCTTTTAAAGTTCTACCAAGGCTGTACCTTTTTGAGCTCAAGTCGCGGGATCTCAAGGCCTTGCAGACTTCGGCCTAAACCCTAAACCCTTTACCCTAAACCTTATAAATCCTAAACCCTAAATCCTGAACCTTCATTGCCCCCTTTGTTTTCAGATCACGCGCCTTTGTAAAAAGCCCACGCGCGCCCGAAACTGGTGTTTCCGTCTCTTGCTGGGAGTCCTCTGAACCTAAGAACAGCAAGTTGAGCGTGTCTTTGCTAGACCCCTAAACCCCTAAACCCTCAACCCTAAACCCTAAACCCCAGAAGCTACCTAAGGCCTGCAAAACACATCTTCAGTGGACCCTGGACCCAGAGCTGCGATGGATCCTCATTCCCTGCTTTCCCAGGCTCTGGGCGAATCTAGAAAAACCCCATCATCTTAGCCCCTAAACCCTGAACCCTGAACCCTCAACCCTAAACCCTAAACCCTAAACCCTATCCCTAAACCCTAGGATCCGAAACAGAGCTCACCTAACCCCTGAGTCTCATTTCCAAACCCTCTAACCCTCAGCCCTCAACCCTAAACCATCATACATCATGCCCTAAACCCTAAACCCTTAGCCCTAAGTTCCTGCACCCCCAACTCTAAGCCCTCGAGCCCTCAAGCCCTCAAGCCCTCAAGCCCTCAAGCCCTCAAGCCCTCAAGCCCTCAAGCCCTCAAGCCCCTCAAGCCCCTCAAGCCCCTCAAGCCCCTAAACCCTAAACCCTAAACCCTAAACCCTAAACCCTAAACCCTAAACCCTAAACCCTAAACCCTAACCCTAAACCCTGTTTTGCTGAAGCCCTCCTGGAATTCTGAGGGACGTGCGGTCCCTGTCCGGCAGCGACCTGATCAAGCGACTCAAGCTCAAGGCGCCAGCCTTGGATCTCCCTTGGGTTTAGGGTTTAGGGTTTAGGGGCTTGAGGGCTTGAGGGTTTAGGGTTTAGGGTTTAGGGTTTAGGGCTTGAGGGCTTGAGGGTTTAGGGTTTAGGTTTAGGGTTTAGGGCTTAGGGCTTGAGGGCTTAGGGTTTAGGGTTTAGGGTCGATTATCGATTTTGGGGCTTGGCTTTCAGGGTTGAGTCTGAAGGGATGAGAATCCAGACTTCAGGGTTTATAGGAACAGGGCGTGCGTTTGCTTTGGGGTTTTGGGGTCAAGGGTCGAGGATTTGTAGAGTTTAGGGTCGAGGGCTTATGGCGGTTCTGGGTCGAATGAGAGTGTGGTGTGTTACCCCCCTCACCCACCTACCCGAAAGGTAAGGCCGCAAGGAAGGCTTGTTGGGCCTGCCTTGCTTTTGGTATAGGGGGACCTTGGTACCCCCCCCCCAAGTAGTGTATACGCCTCCAGGTCTTAAGCAGCCCATTCCTTCGTGATCAGAGCATGTGAGGTGATGTGGTTCGGGGTTCGTAGAGTTCCTGCCTCAGGCATTGGATGCTAAAGAGGAGGCAGAGGGTGGGGGGGGGGGTAAATTGTTGCTTCGTTGTGACCATGAATTGGGCGGGGTGCCAATGCCTTGGGTGTAATATGTGTGTTTGTTGAATGTTACAATTGCATCGTTCAGTACAACGCAAAGCGAGTGCAAAAGCAAGCCTTCAATGAAGCACCCGTCGCGTGCCTGGGTGCCTTCTACCCGATGAAATCCGACACCCGGCGCCCTACGCGCTGCTAATCCATATATGCCTAGGTAGGCCCTCGGGATATTTCATATTTTCACTTATTGGGCTTAAGAGGGTCATATTTAAGAATATTTTTCAGAGGGCTGTAAGGGCCATCCTAGACAATGCCTGTTGTTGACGCAGACTCGAAGAATTTGTACACCACTACAGCATCCTCTACCCGAGAACTTCCTACGCCCTCTGAACCCATGACCCTAAACTGCCAGCACCTTCTCTGTAAACCTACAAAGGGGTTGCCTAAACCCTAAACCCTAAACCCTAGACCCTAGACCCTAGACCCTAGACCCTAAACCCTAAACCCTAAACCCTAATCTGCTGTGGCCAAGGTTGCGGCTTCAAACACGCAGGAGCCGTAGGATGGGGGGACTTGTTCTTTGGAAGGCTTCGGGTTTCAACACGTTAGAATAATCCTAACAATGAGGCCCAAACGGAATAAAGACTAATTGCATCCCCGTATTAGTCCCTTTTTTATTATTATACTAGAACTACACCCCAAGACCCTATTCTAATCATTGTGCCTCTCTAGGATAGACCTTGAACCCTGTGAGTGTGTTGGGCTTTGGTGGCGCCTTGGGAGGTCGAACCCCAGCTGAAACTACACAGGGGTTCACAGGAACTTAGCAAGTGGGGTTTAAGTAGGTTTCAGGTTTAGGGTTTAAGGTTAGTATGGTAAGTTACATCACCCTTATTTGGGGTACTTAAAACCCTAAGTAGTATATCTACCCATGGACTTCCAAGTAGAACCCTGACAGCAAGCATTCGCCCGGAGTATCCCCTGCTGGCTGCCTGCCAAGCGACTCAGCGCTGGGAGGCTTGGCATTTTTTGTCTGTCGGTGACTTGCGTTCCGGGGTTTGCGGCAGGACCTAGTTCAAGGCGACTTGTCTTATAGCTCTGTTTTCACTTAGGGGCTGGGTAGTCAGCCTTTAACCTTGACATATACATATATACATACATACATACATACATACATACATACATACATACATACATACATACATACATACATACATACATACATACATACATACATATAAATCATATACATATGTATATACATTCCCATTGCGCATAAAAAGGCTAACCTTTTTTTGGCCAGGGTAGCCAGCCCCTAAGTTCAAGGATGCAAAAAGGAAAGGCAAGCTCCATGACGCTGATGGAATTCTACTGCGCGCTATACTGAGAAGATGGCTGAAGAGACCACAAGTCATAGGAGAGACCCGACTCACAGCCATAGGGTTTAGGGTTAGGGTTTAGGTTTTCGGGTTTAGGGTTTAGAATTTAGGGTTTAGGGTTTAGTGTTTGGGGTTTCCCGTAAACCCAAAACCCTAAACCCCCTGCGAGAGGGTTCCGGGGGTTTCGGCCTTTCACTCAGCAGCCAAAGCCCTAAAGCCTGCCAAACCCTCGGCCCTTGAACCGCACATACCCGAGCCTCGATTTCCTCAAACCCTCAACTACAAATCCCAGAAAACACCAAGCACCCCAAATCCTAAGCCCTAAACCGTATATCCCTAAACCCTAAACCTTTAACCCCTATAGCCCTAAGCCCTAAACCCTAAACCCTAAACCCTAAACGCCAGGGCTCCCACTTGGCCATTGCCCTCGCCGTCGCCAGCCTCTGCCGCGCCGCAGGGCGCCGTGTGCGCCTGGTGCTCTGCTTCGATCTCAAGAGGCTCGCCCCCAGGGTCTCTGAGAGAGCAACTGGGGGTTTGAGTTTAGGGCTTAGGGTTTAGGGTTTAGGGTTTAGGGTTTAGGGTTTAGGGTTTAGGGTTTAGGGGTA